TTTCCTGTGAGACTCCTGTAAATCGAAGCTGCGCACAAAGCAAATTACGCTGCAGACAGCACAGCGCAGGCTGTCAGCTGCTCAGGAGGTGCCCAGGCTATGAGGAGTTTGTTGTAGCTTTTCATTCTTGCTTGTCCTGCGTGGTGTTAGCAGCGGGGGTAAAACTGTCAGGCTAAGTATAATTTTGCTCTTCAAGGGTCACAAAATGGTCAATATAGCCACTATTGCTAAATATCTTTGGTCAGGACCACTGTGCTGGTTGGCATTCAAAGGTTTTCCTTGAACCAAAGGCCATAAAATCAGGGAAGTAACAAATTAACAGGAAGGGCAGCTTGTTGGGGAGTAGGGTGTGGATTTGTTTGGTTTTTTTTTTTTTTTAAATATAATTCAGTGCATTTGTGTGTGTTTTTTTTTTTTTTTTAATAGTTTAAATAGTTGTAACTAATGTGTCTCTGGACCTTGCAACTTTTAATCTTAACAAAGGTTTTTTTGCAAGAATCCTCAGGGTTTCTTTGGGTCAGGCTTTCAGCCTTTTACTCTGCAATTAAGGTTGGACATTTTTTCCCTCTCGTGTGAAAATCTACTGGTTATTTTTTGTTAACTAAAGGACTTTGTGTTGGGGCTTTAGGGTGAGTCAAATACCACGAGAATGAGCTCTGTGACACCAGCCTAGGTGTGGCCAAGGAGAGGCCAAAGGATGTCAAAGATGGATTTCGTTAAATGAGAGTAATTTGCTCAGTAGAGGCTGGGCTGCTGTTTTCAGAAGGTTCTGGAATATTTTGCTCCCATCCTAACGTGCTTGAGAGCAGGCAGTGACACTGTTTTGCTGTGACCCGGTGTGAAGGGCAGATGACGAGAGCCTGAAGACAAGGAATGTCATGAGGAGAGATGCTCAGGTGCTGTGGTGACAGGTACTTAAAACTAAACAGAAATGCAGAAATGCCCACGTCACAGGCCTGAAGGAATGGAGACAGAACGGTGATGTTGACATCTTTATAGGGACTGTGCAAGAGAGTGGAATCCTTAAGTTATTATTTTTTCAAAAAGAGAGTGGTTTGGGTCAGAGCCAGAAGTTTTTTGGTGCTCAGCTCTCATTTCTTCTCTTTTGTACCACGAATGAAATTTAACAAGTCCCTTTTCAGTCCCAGTGAGTGTAAAAGACATGCTGGCTTCAGGCAGCGCTTTGCAGGTTTCTTAAAAAAGAGAGAAAGAAAATTTAAATGTCTTGGTTCTCACCCTCTGTCTCTAACACTGCTTTCTTCCTTCTCTCTGGAAGGAAAGAACCAAGTGCCCAGCTGGATATGTAGCTGATGGGAGTGGGAGAAGACAAAAAGAAAAAACCGAGCCTGCAGGGGGAGCCTGCCGTGCTGCAGCCCCGGGGGTGAGAGCCCCGGGCTGGGCGGCGAGTTGTAGGTTCCAGCTCTGGCATCCTCCAGCTGCGTGGACGTCTTACAGTAAACAAACCATGGATAATAACCTGAAATAATTCCCAGCCACGACTGCGTTTTGTAACCTTTCCAGCGTGGCTGAATTAACATTATCAGACTCTTTCAGAGTGTTTTGGATTCCAGCGTTGTTGAGGGAGGTGTTGGGCGTCTGACTGCTCGCCTTGGTCTCCTTTGCTGATGTGCAGGAGGAGGCTGTGGTGGGAGCAGCCAGCTCGGGTGGTCTGGACCGAGCTGGTGGTCCTTGGTGAAGCTGTACCAAGGGCTCAGACGCAAACTCTCCCACCTTGCAAAGATGGGGAATGTAAATGGGAAGTTCTTCGTTGACCTCAAATGCAAGAAAGAACAAACCAGCAAGTGGCAACTGGGGCAAATGGCTGAAGACAAGTCTAAGTGACCGTAGAGCAAGGATGGGGGTACAGAATTAGAAAGGTCAGGGCATAAAATAAGACGCGACTAGCAGGAGAAGTTGAGAGCTACAGTAAATAATTTTTAGGATGGCAAAGCCTTTGCTTCACTTTCCCAAAAGGAATTAGCGGGGTAGCTGCTTGGTATAAAATACTTCTTGACTAAAAATAATGTAACTGTTTGGACTTCTGTGTCATCCTCAAGTGCAAGTTGATACTACGGGCTCTTCTTCGTGTCGCTTGGCGTCTGTCCCACACCACGATCTTGAATTTACTACTTGCGTTTTAGCCCGACTAGTGCTAACCATAGTTACTTGCAATGCTGTCTGTGCCTGCTTTACATTTTTCGTATCTGACGTGCAGCGTGCTTCCCGGAGGAGCTCTTTTAATCTCGTCTTTCCGCACCCTCAAGCCGTGTAGACTTCTCCTCCGGTCAGCGCACGAAGAACCTACTGAGCTGCTCCTTCGCCCAGCATCAAGAGGATTTTCCGCTGTAAATCTCTCATCCATCAGTGGATTGCCGTGTTTAAAATGCAACTCCCTGGGTGGATTAAAGAGCTCAGGCGCGCGTAAGAAGATAGGGTGCCTTTCCCTGCAGTAATGCCGCTTCCCATCCCTCCGGGATGCTAGTGACTGGGGGTTAGCACCTGAACTGCATCTGTTAACGGTTGCACTCGGTGATCTTAAAGGTCTTTTCCAATCTGGGCACTTCTGTGAAATCTGAAAGATTGATAGAAATGAATTGCGGTGCGATGAGGTTTGTCCCTTTTTGAGAAAAGAGGGGGATGTTTGCTGGGAGAGGGCCTGCAAAAATCCCAGCGTAGTCATCATTATTTGTAATTCAGTTCAAATGCAAATAATATTTGCAGTAATACTTGTAACTTTGTTCAGCTCTGCCCCTTCTCCCTGCTTCAGATTGCTCTGCAAGGAACTGGTTTTAAAACTCCTTTTATTTATTGAAGGGCCATTTCCCTTTTATTTTTAAGCATTTAGAAGCCTTTTTTTGCATATAGCCGTCAACTCTACTCAGCACAACCAACACTTTTTTTTTCTTTGAAAATTTATAGCTCCTGTTACAGAACTAATAATGGGTTTGGACCCCCTGAGAATTTGGACCCCCTGAGAAGGAAGCCACTTGGAAAAATGAGTCACAGTTTATTTCCAAACCTTGAAGTGATGGGTGTGTGGGTTTGGGTTTTTTTCCCCTTCTGAATTTTTGAAGCCATTTGTGAGAGAAGATGAACTTCAGCCTTGATTAAAAAGAATTAATCATGTGGCAAATAGTTCAGCAGTTGAAGTAAGGGCCAGAGAAAGAATGACCTGTATGAAAGGACATATATAGCCATTTTTTTTGAAGTTCAGTCATTCTTCTGCTTTTTCCTGGAAGTTTGGTGATGTGTAGTGTCCTAAAATAGAGTTGTGCATTCAGTAGAGCAATTAGTGATTATGTATTGGGTTGGTTTTAAGATAATTGGCATGTTTTTCCTTAAGGCTATTACCAAGGTTATGATTGTTCTCATCTCATTTTGTCTTTCTTCCTTTCTTTCAGGAAAACATTACCAAGCAAAATTTATAGCAGTAACTAGAATTTACTCATAACCTAGTTTAGTGAAATGAAGAGTATGGAGCATCATGATAGTTTTGAGCAAAAGCAAACCTCTGTCTTGTGCTAGGAATTCTCCAGCTGAGGTCCTGTTTCACGTGGTGTTCTCCTCTCTGTATCTTATCGTAACAGAAATAATACTTCAGATTCTCAGACAAAAGACGATGAGTAAGTTACCATTGTTGCCAGATTTCTTGGCTGCCTGATACTAGGACTGTGTGGAGGAGCGTGCTCCCTGTCTTACTGCCTGCAGCTGCCACCACCTGCTGGTTTGCAGGTATCGCTCTGAAGCACCAGCTGTTGAAGTTGAGTGAGCAACGACCCTTGCTGGAAAGCAGATGAAGGTTTTCCACCCAGATCCTGTGAACAGGAGAGCTGTGAATTCAAATGAAGTGCTTGCCTTTTGGAGGGTTGAAAGGCAGTGCTTTAGGTGACTGGGAAGGAACTAAAAGCTGGCTGAGAACATCTCAAAAGACTTAAAGAATCTGATAAAAGTAGCAGTTGTGCCTTACCTGGAATCCATCAGTTGCTCTCCTTATCCAGAACCGAGGTTGCTTTTTTAAATGAAGCCTCACCAATTTTATCTTTTCATCCCCTTTTCTTCCGCTGGTCCCACTGCAAGCCCTAATGCCTCTGTCCCCGAGAGCATCTCTTGCAAATGCGAGTTTGTTGTGTTGGGTCAGGCCGTTTGCTTGGTAATGCTCATGAAGCAGGCGAAATGAGTGTGGATTTACTCTGTTATGTCTCTTGCTATTTTTGTTTAAAATGAAAGAAATGGGAGTTCTGCATGTCTCTTATTCCTTCTGCTTTGTCAGAGTTCTTGTTGACTATGCTCCTCTCTAAACACAGTGGAGATAAATTAAAATGGATCATGTTTTTCCTGGCTTTGTGGTTGTCGCGGAGATTTATTTAATTGAGTTCTGGGCGATGGTTGATAATGCTGTGGGTTGGGGATGGCTCCTGGCCCGTTTTCCCTTCATCTGTGTGGCAAATTAAAATGATGGAGCTGGGTGCTGCTGGTGGTTGTCTCGAGTTGTGTCAAGTACAAAAAAGAGGAGACTAGTTCATAAGGAGTGTCTGAGGGCCACACTGGTGATACAAAAGTGGGAAAAGAGGCAGAAAATGGAACTGTTGTTTGGCATGTGTCTGTGTCCTCAGGCAGTTGTGTGTCCGTATTTCTGTTTGGCTGAATTTATTGCCAGTGTTAGTCAGCGGAGGCTGATGTTGCCCCAGCCTGAGTTAACAGCAGGACTCTTTTCGTAGCATTCTGTACTTCTGCAAAGGAAAAGCGGCAGAAATCTTCTAGGGGTGTGCTGGTGTGTTGCGCGTATTTGGGCTGGTTGCAATAACCCTGTTAGGACAGTGGTTCATCGTTTCGGTAATTAACAGAACCCGGTTGGTCTCAGGTAGGTATTTTTAACTTCAAGTGCTTTTAAGAGAGGAAAACACGAACAGCACCTGTAAATGAATGGTTATTTCAGAGTGGCTCCCTCATGTCTTAATTCCACCATGATTAACTCTGATTCCATTCCTGTTCTGTTGCAGATTTCGACTTGAACTACTTCTGGCATTGGAGCAAGTTTACAGACTACGTCCAGTGTGTCCTGACCTTCACTGGCGTGACCGGTTACATCACTTACCTCTGGCTGGACTCCTCTCTCTTTGTGGAGACGCTGGGCTTCCTTGCCGTGTTCACCGAGGCTATGCTGGGCGTCCCGCAGCTCTACCGCAACTACCAGAACAGCTCTACGGAAGGCATGAGGTAGAGTGTCTTTCTTACGTCACACAAATAAGCACGTGCGTGTGGGCAAATCTTTGTGCGGCGTGGTTCTAGGTAGGGCAGTGTCATCTTTCTAAACGTTACCCAAAAATTATTAGAGTAGATTCTCTGCCAGTTTGAGCTGGTGGCAGTGGGAAGCTCCGGTACGCCTTTGGGGTCTGACCTGTTATCCAAGTTGACCTAGACAATTCCATGTTTTACAGACAGAAATATGTAAAGCTGCTGCTGTTGCCATTAGCAACACATTGCAGTTCAATTCCAGCTGTGCTACACTGCTAATTAGAAATGGACTAAAGGGATCTTGTGTATCCAAAGTAGTAAAGAGACTGAAAATACTTTGAGCCTGCAGCGAGTATCTCTGTCAGCGTAACTCGCGCGTTAGCTCATCATTTTTCCTCACGTGTCTACTCATCACTTTTTTGTAACACATTATATATGTAGGAAAGGATGTTAGTATTTATTTTTGTGTCAAAGCTTGTGGCTGATGTTTTAAAAAGCTCAAAGGAGATGTTTACAGGCACGACTAGGAAACCCTCCATAAACAAGTGTGGGAGAGAAAACTTTAATCCTTTGCCCACTGTTGGGGTGTTTAAGCTAGATTAACTTTTCATAATGCTTACTGGATATCTCAGTAATAACATGAAGATTTCCAAATTACAAAGGCAACTTGTCAAGCTTTTTAAGAGAAAACCCATTCGCTGCGGTGCATCAGTGCGCTGGTCTGTAGAACCAGCACAGCAGCAAATTCAGTTCACAGAGTGCTGTGATCGTTTGTGGCTCTGGCTTCTATTTTGTTGGTTTGAAATTACTTCATTTTGTTGCTTTTAAACTCACTGGGGTAGTTTTTACTTTGAGGGAGATGAATAACGTCGTCCCACCACCCACCAAACCAAAGCAGTTCTGTCCTTTATCTGTTGACATTGTTCCCTTTCCTTGTTTGGCTTGGAGACACGTTTATTAGCTACTTTAAGTTCTTTTCTAGCTTGCAATGTCGTTGAGGGGGAATGTTCAGAAATGTGCTTTGATGCTTCAGGCATTTTCTGATTGGGACCTCCTTTGCTACAAAGTGAGTCAGGATTTACTTCCAAAATATTGGGATATTTTTTGTGCACACGCTGCCTTGGGAAACTCTGTCCCTGTGGTAGCCAGAAGGCAGTTTACCTACTAGATCTTCTTTATGCTCTGGTTTGACTTGTCCCTTCCTACTGTTGGCCTTGGCCCACTGGGTTGATGGGCCGAGGCCGATGGTATAAAGTTCATAGAATCGTAGAATGGTGAAGGTTGGAAGGGACCTTGAAGATCACGTCTCTCCCACCAGACCAGGTTCCTCAAAGCCCCGTCCAACCTGGCCTTGAGCACCTGCAGGGATGGGGCATCCACAGCCTCCGTGGGCAGCCAGCGCCAGTGCCTCACCGCTTCTGTGGTGAGAAACTTCTTCCTTCTGTGTAATCTAAGCCTGATCTAGTTGACAGGTGGCGTCCCTGG